TGAAAGAGTTTAAGTGGCCGGTGTTTGTTTGTTCTCGATTCTTTCCTTCAAATGTTGAAATATACGAGCTATTTTTCTTTTATCTATCATAAATTAAAAAAATAAATAAATAAAAAGAACCTGCATCACTAAAATCTATGGAGGGTCATGGATTCAATACTTTATTAAGCTTTATTAAGAGCATAAAGAAAATACTGTTTCAAGCCAACAGTTGTGCAATGAGGTGACTGGGCTGAGATCACGCTCAACTATCATGTTTCTCCATAAATAATTATTATATTTAGAGTACCATTTTATATAGACTAGTTTGATCTATGGCTGATATAACAGAATAAATAATTACCTGCCACAGCCAGACTCGAATCCGGAATCTTGATCTAAGGAGCCTAGCGCCTTAATCACTAAGCAGCTTCACTCCTATAAATTCTTAACTAATTAATGTTTTTAGCTCAACTCCTCATTGTCATTATTTATGATAAAACTAATCATGGATTGAATTCTTGAATACTTTCTATTAATTTTCTTCATTACCAATTTATTTCCCTTACCATCATGGTTTTAATTCAATAATAAATAGGTACCATTATTAATACTGATCTATGAAGAAGTAGATCAACTATCTCTATATATTGATAATATAGATATATATATATTATATCTATATTTTTTATTATTATATACCTTTTTAATATGTAATCATTTGCATAGATATAGTATCGGGAATGATGGATGAGGAAGGGAAAGTCATAAATTTAAATAGCAAACATAAAGAGGATAGAGAACCCAGAGGAACATCACAGGAGTCCTAAGACCCGAATGTCTTCAATGCAGGTTGATCTGGGATGGGCATATATTGTGACCCATCTGAAAGTAAGGATTTGAACCAGTGCAGGATACTGTTAGATAGAGGAAGATTTTGCAGTTTGATGAGGAGAGAGTTGTGATCAACTGTCTCAAGAGCATTAGAAAAATCTAGAAGGATGAGATAGTTAGTTTTTTGTGTTCAATGGAGTTTTGGAGGTCTTGAGTCATTTTTAGGAGAGCAGATTGAATTGAATAACCAAGTCAGAAGCCTGATCGGAAAGAGTTAAAAAGACAGACTGTTCCTCTAGGAAATTAGAAAGTTGAATTTCTACAATGCAAATAATCGGTGAATTTCTTTTTTATGTCTGTACTTGGCATTGCTGCCATATGAAAATGAAAAAATAATTTTATTGTGGTACTAAAGTCCCACAATAATAACATGGTATAAAACATTGGTCCATTAGTCTGGCTTGACAAAATACAAAGAGGACCTTGTAATTTGAATGTTAATTTCAATTGTTATTGCAATCATACTTCAACAATATAGCAAACGAAGTAACACTAGTACATTTTAAATGGTTTACATGTATATAAAGAAAAAAAAAATGAAACAACTCAAATAAATAAAATAAATAAAATAAAATCAAATGGAACTTGTCGATTAATCGTTAGTCTAATTACAAAATCCAATAAGTATCACATAGGTAAGGGGGTTTGAAAATGAAGTAGGTGGTGGAATAAGAGTTGTTGAAGGAATTTATGGATGAGGATTATCGTTTGGTGATAGGTAAAGAATTCCAGAAGGAGGTAGCATGAATGATGAAGGATTTGCTGAAGGATGTAGTTTTATGAGAAGGGATATATAAATCAATAGATTGAGATCTGGTATTAAGATAGTGGGTAGAGGAACATAGAGTGAGGAGTTCTATGATATAGGGAGGATTTTTAGTTCTTAGGACCTGGAAAAGGAAAACACCAAGAAGGAATTGTCGTCGGGTAGTAAGATATATGAGTAGGAAACACGAGAACATCTGGGAATCAATTTCCTGAGAATGCAGATTCTGTGGTAGTAGGCTTATAGATATGCCCACTATAACCAATAATCAACCCTTATAGCTCTATATTTTCTCATCATATACCTTTTTTTAGATTTTTAAATTGAAGACAAATTTGTTAAGAATTGTATTTCAGTAGCAAACCTTACTTTCTACACCTTCTCAGCTTCCTCCTCCTGTTTTGTCATGTATTTAGATTTAATAAAAAAAAAAGTGACTGATAATATTACAAAGATTATTTTAATTCCTCATGTCGTGAGAAGTTGAGTGAGTAAAATACTGAACTCCTACCTGCTCCCTAACACATTAGGGATTACTGAGCCTGGCTGTAGTAGGAAATTTATTTTCTACTCCACCAATGGTTGATTAACTCTGTGTTGAGGAGTCTTTCCTGGGGCACACAACCACCTATAAATTGGGGATAGGACTCTTCAATGGATTCTGGGAAATCCTGTTCATAGAATGGGAGAACTTCCGATTAGATTCTTGTAAAAGGATTATCCTTCTATTAATTTAGTATCTTTTTAGTCCAGATACAGAACTTCCTAATCAAGTACTGAACTCAAGAGCCTTCATATTTTGATTGGTATGATTCTTAACTTATGATATTAATGGGGAGTGAACTGATTACTTTAAAACAGTAAATTGGCCATTAGCATTAACTTTTAATAAAATCCGTGTTAAAAACTCATTCTATACCTCCTCCTTCTCCCTGACATAAGCTTTTTTATAACTGCAGCATTTATAGTAGTTTATGATAGTAACAACAACTCTTCAGAAAATCCTACTAATTACTGTTGTTTATGATAATATAAATTTTAATTCATGCATAAGTCAGATAGTGCAAACAATGAATGTCACATGGAGTGCAATGATGAAAAACAAAAAATAAATGAAACATAAAATAGCTTTATTAAGAGCATAAAACACAGGTTAATATAATCATGCATACAAAAATTAATAACATAAAAATGAAAATCTAAAGTAACACAAAACTTGGTTTACAAAGCTAGCCAAAATAAAACAAAAACAATGAAAAATCATAAATAAAGCATTTCTAAGTATGAGTGACACCACAAAAAAGCTGTATAAAATATTAACTAGTTGTCCGAGCAGTGAAAGATTTTTTTAAATTTAATCATTTTCTGACATTAAATATACAACACAATACATTAGCCACAAAATACCATATTACTTTTTTTTTAAATCAACAAAACTAGTAACAAACAGCAAACTTATGCAGTCTCCTTTAAAATATTTTTTTATTTACATTTCAAACAGGAATTTAAAAAAACAATTATCAAAATATATTTAATTAACAATGTAAAATCAATATCAAAAATGCCTTTTTTTAAAAAAATAAATATTTTGTAATTTATCTATTCAACCTTAAGATTAAATTTCATTCAATCTAACGGGAAATAGCAAATTACATTATAATAATAATCATTAATGTATTGTTATGCATCACTTCATTAATTTTTAAAAAATATAGTTTTGTTAATTTCCTTATTATTTAACACAATTATTATTTATATTAAACTTAATCCAGGCTGAACATTATTGAGTTAATCAGTAATGCGCTATTTGAATTGAGTATATCCTTGAATTAAAATTAACATTAATATATAATTAAGCCAATATTAAATTTTGATTCACAAACAAACAAAAAAGCAGATTAATGATTAAGCTGAATTCTGTAAAAGCATGCTCAGACGAACCAGTTAATTTGATCCTATAACTAATAAAACAAACAAAATATAGTTTTGATTAATTAAAAATTAAAAAATGCAAATTAAACTAAGGTTAAAAAAAGGTTAAATAATGTTAAAAACTTGAAAGTCTTACCAGGAGCTGCGGAGTAGGATGTTATGACAATACCACAGTTCATCAGAGATTGTTATTTCAGTCCGAAATTAAAAAAGTTTAAACATGATAACGACACAAACTTGATAGTTTAGAGCGATAAACATCCGCTTCTTTAATTTTGTTCATTTTTCGATTGGCAAAATTGAATAAACCTTCTTCCGCAACACATGGCACTTCACTACACTTTCACTTATCCGAAAAAGAAACGTACTACTAATAAACATTATAATAATATTTTCATTAAATTAAACCCAATTTTTAATATTTTGATTTATGCAACAGATAACTTACTGTTTACAATTTTCAACCTCAGCGGCACAAGAAAAAAATATATAAATTAAAAATATTCAAATTAGAAACAACTATATATTTAAAAATAAGTAAACCCTTATACTAAATATTATAAGTATTATTACAAATCCAGCAACTATTTTTTATTAACAAAATATTAAAATTTACCTAATATCAAATACATACATTTGTGTATTATATTCTAATCAATCAGAGGCATTTCTTTATAATTATCCATTCCCATAAGTTAAATTATTTGTGACCCATTCCCAGAGTTCTACTCACCAAAACATTACACATATTACTAACAAGAGAAAAACACCAAAAGGTATACAAAAAAAAAAATTAATAAACAAAATAAGGAATAACAGGGACTAAAAGTGTACAGTGGAAATAACCGTCAACATCATAGTAATATTATCATATAAAAGTATAACATACAGGTGAAATACTTAACTACCTACAATAATAAGGGTGTAAACATATAATATAATATAGGGTTCAATGCAGTACTGGTAATAACTGGAAACATTTGGACCATTAATATGGTGCTTTATAGACCATAAATTTTATTTTTTAAATATATAATTTAATATTCAATAATTAACTTGCTTTCATAGTTAGAGCCAGCCTTATTAGACTGCAACTTTTAGATATCTCATACTACAGTTCTTAATTTTAAATGTGCTTATTAACAGATAAACATTTAATAGAAGTGTATCCATTTAATTGAAGCAAAAATGATAAAGGAAAAGAACAACACAAAACACATTATAGAATACACTGTGTCTCATCTACAAATCAAATTAAAAAATAAAAAATAAACTCAATTTAAAAACAAAAAATTAAAACTAAGGTTGAAAAAATTAATCGACTAGGGTTAGAAGCAATGCTGAAAATGCGAACTTGATTCAAACCCTAGCCGATGGACTGACTCGTCCTTGCTTCCCTAAGGCAGGGGTAGAGAGAACATGGTCTTACTTGTACCTCGCATGGCGGTGGTGCGCTTCTGTATGATGGCACGATCTTGAATGTCACCGACCCTCTCGCCTCTCTCTGAGGTACATAACATATATTAACTTCAATAATAATGGCATCTATAAGATATAATATAAACATCTAACTACAATTAATTGTTACTACCTTACCTTTGCTGATACCTGAAATATCATAGAAAATAATTCACCCCTCGAGAAAAATGGCACAAAAGTAAAATTTTTAAAAATATTAATGCCAGAATAAGATGAAATGAAAATTTTAATACTATATAAATAACCAGGATTCACAGTCTAGATTTGTTTTATTCTGCTTGCTGAGTTTTGACCCAAGCATGTGGACCATCATCAGAACAACATTTTCTGTCTAGCCTAGCATCAAAACTACAGGTCTTAATGCTAGGCTAAACAGAATCTATAGCCTTGATGATGACTCGCATATTTAGTTTGAAACACCAAAATATTAAATGATACAAATCTAAACTGAGAAGCCTAACTATTTATCATCCTCATAATTTAAAAACAAAACAAAAAAATGTTAAAAAAATATCCATTCCTAAAATTTTGATAATGAAGCGAATAAAAATGCATTAAGCATTTTTTCAACATTAATCAGATTTTATAACATGAAAAACAGCTACAGTGCAGACATAAATACAACAAAAGTGAATACAATAAAAACTTATTAATTATCATTAATAATTACAGCGACATTAAAGAATTAGATACATAATTTCATTTGTATCACTTTTTCTCTGGAGGTGCCAAATTATAAACATTAATAATTTAAAGTATTCACAGAAATAAAAAAAAAGATACTAATAAAATATTCAACTAGAAAAAATTGAGGATTTTATCAAAAAGTAAACTGGAATTTAGATCTTACCTTAATAAGGGTTTGATAGATCAATTGGAAAAAACAAAACAAATTTTACTTCATTAATAATTTAATTAAATATAAATTACTTTGGATGAAACCTATTTTAATCGAATATTTACAAATTTAGCTGCACAGAAATCATAACAGTCAAACCAATTAGACTGATTGAGGAAAGTAAAGAATCATGTATTACTAATTTAATTAAATAATAATAGTTAAGCTATTTATTTTATGAGCATATGAACAAAGGTTTAGCTACAGGCAGGTAACTGTGTATCATGCCTTACCTTTGAAGAGTCCATAATTAGTCAATAGTATGTGCTTAAATGAAGTTCAAGATTTAAGAGATTAAGCATAGTGAAGATTCTAAACTAACCAATGATCCAATGCAAAAGATAACACCATCTTTTTCCTAGCATATCGCTTTTTTGTAAATTTATATTTATAACCAAGATTGCACAATTTACATACAGCCAATAAAAATATTATCTCAAGTATTGCTACACAGAAATACAAAAATTTCAAAAAAAAAAAAAATTTTTTATAGAATTAGCAATGTAAGAATTTTTTTTAATAAAATGAAACCACACTCATCTATCAAGTTCAATAAAACATTGTTCTTGATTTTTCCATTTTTATTTTTCTTTGACGCAAACATTTTAATTGATTTATATTAATTATATTTTATGTTATTATGTTTATAATCAAATTACAGTATTGTAGGATATGAATATCTCATAACTTCATTTTGGGGATTTACAAGAGAAATGAATATCCTTAGTTAATTGTTTGATTTATTGTGCTATGTTTCTATAGTAAATGTTCTACTTATATTGTTATTTAATCTCTAATTTCTTACAATTGTTATAATTCTTTAGTTATTTGTTTATCGTATCTAAAAAATTTTCTTTTAAATTTAATTTATTTTATTTGAGTTAATTTATTTCCTTATATTTTAAACTATTGAAATTTATATGCATTATGTTCCATAAACTAATTATATATTTTAATACATGTTATGTCGATAAGTGTACAGGATACATACAGGATTACTGTAATCTGAAAAAGGGAAGTGAAGAGAAACGAATATAACATTTTAAAAAATGCAAAGATTAGATTAAAGTAATAAAGATTAGGTTTCCTTTGTTTTTAGAACTTAGTGCAATCCTTAGTTATTTGTATATTAGAGCTATCTCTGAACTTTCCAATCTCTATAGAGTTCCGAGAGCAGAGTTCTGAGCTTTTCATAGCCTAATGGAGTTACAAGGTTACCATCCAGTGGACTGGTATCAAACTTTTGACAGGCAGTGAATATCATTGGTGCAACTCAAGATGAGACTTCAAGTAGTACAGAAAAAAAATGATATTTATTTATTTACATTGTCTTCATCTACTTTTAGTCAAGAAACTTGAAATTTTATAAAATAGCATACTTTGAATTAGAAAAATATTTTATTAATAGTAAAAACTTCTTCACTGTAATGAATAATTTTCATAATCAAAGAATTTATTTTATTTTTAATTTAATTTAATAGGCTCTGAAAGAAGTCTTTTTAAAAATTATTATTAGTGAAATTAAAATTATATAATGGTTATATATAAATATCGAATCAATAACATGTAGATTTTTTTATATAAGAAAATATTTTGTAAATTTTTAATGTGAGTGAGTTTAATAATTCATGTTTTAACAGTCAAATAGCAAATAATAGCAAAACGTAACAATATATAGTAAATAATCACATAAATGATTTATTACCAAAAAAACTTAATTAAAATAATTTTAAGAACTTCCAAAAGTAAGCAATGATACCAGAAATCCTTTAAAGCAAAACTTGCAATAACTTAGAAATTCATTCATGGATTTACTCAAGAAGATCCCTTAATAATGACATAGCTGCATAAAATGCATATTATGATGACCATAACTGAGGCATTAATAATAGGTGTAATGCATATGTTCTTCAAAAAGTTGAATACTGAAAAAGGTTTGCATCAGGGACTCAAATGAAATTTTAACTTTTATTTTTATTCAGTTTCGGTATAAATGGAATCTTTATTATAATTTTTTTTCTGTTATTTTGATACTAGAACTTTTTTTCCTGGCAATATTTCTTCATTACAAAATTATTATTTCAAAGATTTTGGTAAATGTTAATAATCTAATCTTCTGTGACAAATAGTTTTACCCAGCAAATAATAAAATATTAATTTTATGGGAAGAAAAACTAGATGTGATTCATGTTTTACTGAAATATGATTGAAAATAAATATTAATAAAATAATTCTTATTTTATTTTTATGAGGAAAAACCCTCAAAACTTCTCTTCCTTTACAAACAATTCCGAACCATTAAGGGACAGTACAGTGTAACAGAGAAGCTAATAAAATTTCAACCATCAAACTACACCAGGATCTATCAGTATTAGGCAATTATCGTTAACAAATCTCACTTAGCCGTAATTGGGTCAATATTTTGTGGTTGACGAGGCCCTGAAATAATAAATAACTGAGTATCCGGTTCCAATTAGCAGCAGTGGCTGGCTGTTACTATCTGTTATTGTAGAACGGGGACAATTAAAAAGTAATTGCTACTATGAGGAACAGGTATAATGGAGAAAATAGGTTTGTTCATTACATATTAAAAAGTCTCATGGATTGAGAGGGAGAAGAAGTGAAAAAATAATGTTGCACATTTTGCTGCGAGTTGTTATTTTATCGTTTTATATAAAATTTAGAGACATTATAGAAACTTTTTTTTTTTTATTTCTCTTCCAATTATTTTCAATAAACAAGTAGAAAAAAAACCTCCTGTGTCCCCTAAGAGCCGACTCCCCTTGCCATTTTGGGGACAAATTCCAATAAAAAACTGCTTTCTTTATATACGCAAATATTGACACGTTATAAATTTTTATTAAGTTTTCAAAATATTTTCCTTTTACTTAGAGGTTGACTTTAAACACAAAATATCCATATAAAAAAAAAAAAGATCTGCAACGTTTAAGATTTGGTATTTGGGTTATTCCAGAAAACTAAAGAAAAGAGGACGTATTTCAGTGCAAACCTTCGCAAAATAATTGCGTAACAAATTGCCAGTTTAGACGATTAATTTTTTTTTTTTTGTAAAAAATTTAATTTGTGTTCTAGAGGATCTTTTGGATACACAGACACACAGATAGATCAATGGACGAAAACGGGTATTTCTGATTCAGAGAAATAAATTGAATCGAAAATTTGACCTGATTATAATACTTTTCTTAATGTACTTTACTTGAATGTACTATACTTTCCTGGTAGGCACGTAATTAAATATAAAAATTAATACATAAAATAGTTTTTTTAGTATTCTTTAAATTTTTTTAAATTAAAAAAAAATTAATATCCAGAAGAATATAACGATACAATCGTGAATCAAATCGCCGGATTGGACTTATTTACGCCTCTGTACATAATATGTAAACAAATTATAATTTATTATAACAATTAATTTTGCCTCAGGAATCGTCATTTGACATGTGAAAGCAAAAATCAGACTTCATATCTATTATTCTGATCAATTCCACACGATGAAAGTATTTCTAAAATATAGTAAAAACATAATATTTCAATAAAAGTATAAAAATATCTTACACTAATTTAGTAAAGGTCAATATTGATTATTGGGAGGAAATATAATAGGTGAAGAGCCTTGAGAAATTCTTGAATTCCATTTTTTTTTTCAATTAACTTATGCCAAGTCATGAGATAATTAATTTTAATGCCAATGATCAGTACGAATCTTATCAATAATATCGATAGCTGCCAGTCGTTAATATCGTAATTATCAAGAATCAGAATTTTTTAATTATCGCCAACTTTAGTAGCAAAATGGTTCATCTTTTCATAGGATTTAGGTTAGAATAAATATTTCAGAAAGAGATAAAAATAGTTTGATTTAAACAGTTTTAAAATAAATTTTGAGCAATGATCTGGGTGATATTAGGCCTTTAAAAACAAAACTGATATAAAAATATTGTAAATTTCCAATTTATTACCCGTCATATCTTCTAGGCAGCTTGTGCTTATCTTGATTATAAGAGAAAACTATTTGAAATACTTTTATGATTTTCAGGAATGTGAAATCAATAATAGAGACAAAGTCTGATCAAAGAGGAGAACCGTGCTGGATATAATTAGTATAATACACAACAAATAATCATGGAATTGTACTCACGAGTATCTTCTGCAAGGCGGAGACAGACTGGTTGGCCACCGGGATGCCGTTGATCTCCCGGATCTCGTCGCCGACGTGGAGGGTCGCCTGCCGATGGATCATACCGCCGTGCATGATCCTCGCCACGATACACTTACCGTCCTCGTTCATCTTCAGGGTTATACCCTAAGGAAAAAGAAGTGTTAGTAGGCTAGTCAACGACAATGGGTATGGGCTCTGAGTCCATTCCGAGAGGTTGGGAAGCAGTATCAGCCCACATCGAGAATTTGGTCGATTATTGTACTTGTATGGCCTAATAGAGATGAGAAAGTAAAAATAATTAACTAAGTGAAGTGAAGCTGCGACATTATACAATTTTAAGAAAAAGCTCCATCTGAAAAAGTTCTATGTGTGCATGCGAGATAGGACTATTAAAAACATGATTGATTTTGTAAAACATTTTATTTTGATTTCACATATATTTACTAATCACCATCTTCACCACACGCTCCTTTTCTATTCCATATTCCATTATCTGATACAGTGTTAGAAGTCTTCTTCTGTCAGCTCCTCTAAGACGCGTGCCGTATTATCTTTCACAGCTTCAACGGACTCAAATCTTGTTCCTTTTAATAAAGATTGACGAATCGTGATTTTTTACTTATGATCATCAGATGGAGCGCCAGTCCATGCACTGGAAGAGCCCAAATTCACCGATAGTCAAAAAAGCTCGATTAAGCAAATCAAAATTAAAGGCAATTGTTAAGCTCCTGCAAGATTTTACTTGAAAATTTATATTGAAGCTTAAATAACAGAGGTAAAAAAAAAGAATTCTACACCATAACTTTGGGACAGCGGGTGAAATTTAGTTTGTGGTGGATATACTCTGTTATTTCAGTCTGCGAAAACGTGTTTTGTGTAGGCATGTACTGCGCTACTACCCCGCGACAGGTTGAGAACTACAGAGAGATTACTCTCGTTGTGCAGTTAAGTTTTATTTATTTCTATTGTTTTTTTCAAAATTCTTGTTTTCACGTAGTGAGCCGCAAGGTAGTAGCGCCAGACATGTCTACACAAAGCAAATTTTTGAAGACTAAACCAATACAGTGTATCCAACAATGTATCACAAACTAAATTTTACCAGCTGTCCCAAAGTTACCCCATCTTATGGTAATAAAAATAATGGACTGTATAATATTGAAAAAAACGGAAACCTGGACTAACATTTATTTTTTCCATAACAACAAATATTTTTTTCTTATAATTTAAACATATTTATTGAGAGATAGTACAATCTACCATAATTAAGGACATTTATACTAGAGTTCAGAGAGCACATCACACTCTAAACAACAAATAATAAAGGAAAAAAATGAAATAAATTTTATACTTGATAGATAATAAATAACGGCTGGTTGTGCCAAAGAATGGTTTGAGTTTCCCGCATTACGGCGTTGGTGGGGGCAGATCTAAAAGATAAAAGATAACACTTAAGCCTCGAGAGCTTCTGGTTTCCAGTGCCCCACTTCTTCATTGGCAGTCTTGGAGACCATGAGAGTCTTCATCACCAGATGCACCGCAGAGCCCTCCAGGTAATAAAAGATGTAAGCTGGTATAAAGACGGTAAGCTATTTTTTGCACAATCATTATAACCTACCAATCCATTAAGATACAGTCCACTGCTTAAAATTAGAATGTTGCCTTATTGAAACTCATGAAAGTTATTTGTCATAATTAGAAATGTTGCCTAAACAATGGCTAGTAATGTAAGTGCTTTGAAAAAAACCAAAGTGCTAGAAAAATAAAATGAACAAATATATTACTAATATTAAAAGTAAAAGCTGTATAAAACAAAAGTTTGAATATTTGTTTACTGTAAATAAAATATTTTACAGCATATATCTCGTAATTTAACAGCCACATCTCTTATTGCTACTGAACACATTCGCTCAACCGTAAACTGAAGATTATACCAGTTGATATTAACACTAACTGTGGATGAAATAAAGAATTATAAAGATTCTAAGTTGAAGAAAGGAATAACAAATGTTTGTAGAATATAAAAAAAATTAATTTAGAAATGACGCCTCCACAGAAAGGAGATAAATATAAAGGCAGAAAATAGCCCGTAAATGAAGAAAGAAAAAACTATAACTAGATAAGAAGAAGTGCCATAAGAAAGCGTTCAACGAGGAAGAAAAGGAAAACTCTCGACGACAGTGGCAGCCCTGGCTGCTCGGAGATTAATGAACCACCAGGACATCAGGGTCAAAGGGGCCATCCGGCGGGAAAATGCTTCGGAAGGATATCTTCCACCGAGGATCATTTCGGCTCCAGTCCCTCTCAAAGCTATAGTAGTTGAAAAAATGCAATAACCATTTGAGAGGAATGGAAATTTCCACATTTCACGGAACTTTATTAATCGACTTGTTGTTGGAAACAGAATTCTGCTCGCAGCTTTTGAAGTGAAGTTCATTGGACAGAAAGAAAAAATAGACTTAACTGGAAAAAAAAAATCAGAAAAAAATAAAAATTATGCTTGAAATCAATTCACGTGTTTTGTGATGGTAGAGGAAAGAGAAACGTTTCGCAATTATTAAAAAGATTTGAAAATAATGATTTTAGGGCCTTTATTACAGTACAATTACAATAACAGGAAAACTACATAATAAATATGTTCTTATTCATTTTATATCATTACTGCTATGATTTAGCAGTACTGCTATGAAGGTTTAGAGCATTCTATCATCAACTCTGTTATGTGTTTACACATCTTTGGCAGCTCTAACAAAAAGTACGACGGCCGTAAGTTTTACAACAGTTGAGATGATTATAACCAAGGACCAGATTTTTATGCAGTAAAATTCAGTAAAATATACCATATAATACGGAATAAATAAATCCTAAAAGATGCAACAAAAAAAAATAAAATATGCAGAAAAAAATCCTCTCATGTATATAATAAAGCATCTAAAATGTCGAAATAAAACAATGTGCCTACTCTACAAAATTAAAAATGCAATCAATAGATTTCTTTTTATCATTAACGAAAATAATTAAAACATAATGCGAAAAAAAACGATTTTTTTAAAAACTAAAATATGAAAGAAATAAAAATTTACAGGTAGTAATAAAAGAAAATAACAATGATTGTATTTAAAAATAATTTACAATATGAAATAAATAAATAAAATGAAAATATATTAGTAAGCGACAAGGCCCCCCCCCAAGGCCTAAGTCGCATAAACCTTCTCCAACCCTTCCCAAGATATTTTATTCCTATCATTTTCTCAAAAACAGGAAAACGAAAGTAGAATATAAATATTCGTAGATTATATACCATTTCACATATTGCGGTCTGTTCCATATTTCCACTTGTCTTTTAATTTGAAGCTTTTCATTTTGAAAATTCATGACCCCGTCGTAATGCTCCTCCCTCAAAAATTGAAAACCCCGTCAAAAAGTGCTCCTCCTCACAAATTTTAATGGCGCAACTTGCGCCATGAAACTCCCTTCTGGGCATCCCTAGTAAGCGCAATGTTCTATATTAAATTTAACCAACACATTTCCAAATTTAAAGTTAAAAAACATAATCTTCTATCGAATATTTAATAGTTGACCGTTGCATTATAAAGTAAGGAGAAGGCTCGGGGTGGCGGTTATAAATATAAATAGTGGCAAAACTATTTTATTAAAAGCCAAAGTTTAAGAAGAAGACCTTCAAAGTCGGGTTGAAACGTTGGTTTTTAATTAAATAGTTTTGCCACTATTTAGCCTGTTTATGACCGCCACCCCAGACCATCTCGTTCCTTTATATTATAACCTTCTATCGTTTGAAATATTTGTATAATAGAAAAATGATTTGATAATCAACAGATGTGAAGAGGGTAAATTAAAGGCACTTCGTATTATCGGCTTGTTTTCACCATAAAAACTTGCTTTGAATAAAACATTTACTTTTATCACTGAAAATAATTATAAATATTTCCTCTAGAAAAGAAAATGAAAAACACCTGAAACTGAGAGTGAGGATGAACTGTTCCATGAATGAAACTATGAAATGTATGAATGGAGATAAAAAATACGGGTTTTATAAAAATTCATTTCCTAAGAAGTTAATCACTGAAGGAAGCGTTATTTAATTTATTATCTGTTGATTGAAACAGAACCTACGACTGTAGTCAGAAATTTCTACTTCAATATAATTTTTTATCTAAATTTTTTTTTCTCGATTAAATCAATCAAATATGAAATTATAGGCACTTATCATCAAATACCCAATATAAAATTCGATTTATTGCACTTAAATATTTAGCGCACTGATTCGAATATACATATTTTATCAGAAGTTCAAAAACTGAAAACAGATGAAATATTCAGTTGCATAAAAATTCAGACTTTTATTATTACTTTAAAAATGAATAAAAAATAGAGTTTTATAACATAACGTTTGAGTGATTTATGTCTTTACCGACAGTGGCTTATTAATATTAGCAGTCATCTATTCAAAGAAAATAATATTATGTATAAAATAGCCTTCCTTCGCCCATAAATAATGTGAATAATTTAGAATTTTATTTCCCTTCGTTTTAAATTTAGGCAACATTAAGAAAACGGGCCATGATGACCTCCATGCTTCAGGACAGGATCCCACTTCTTTATTAAGTTGTAAAATATTCTGTTAGTGGTGTCAGGTTATATTAATATTCAACAGGGGGAGGGGGAAGGGAGAGCGGCCAACTTTTTCAAACGGGCTTGTAATTAATCCTTTCCACATCAGAAGATAAATTATTTTCAACAGAGTTAATGATATTTAAGGTCTCCGGCGAGGAAGCAACTTGGATGAAGTATCTTCGTTCTCATCCTCTTCCCAGCTTTAGAACATTTACTATTATAAAACGAATTATTCACACAACTTCAAATATTTATGTTATCATCACCAATGTCTTACGAGGATTAGGAACTCATAATGATTCTTTTGAGCAATACTGAACTATCCAGAACATATCCGAATACTAGGAGAGACTGAGAAGTGGCAGTCGTCATATTTGTCAAACTATAAGGAATAGCCTTTAGATAGATTCTAAGGAAGGTATGTTGTGCCAGTTTGAACGTAGTTAACAATATTGGTAACGCATCGCGTGACATTAACGATAATGGAAGTCTTCGTTACTTTATAGCAGATA